ACTAGCAACTAACAGGATCACAAGTTCATAATTGACATGCAGAAATTTAGCAGCCTTGAATTAAAAACAAAAACTGTGCCATTAAATTTGTGACATAGCGACGACAAACTATAATACTGACCTCCCTATTTATTTTCGCCTCTAGTCGCAGGTCTGGAATTGTCCGAGTTGGGGTTGTTGCCTCTTCAGCATGTAAAATTTTCTTTGGCGTCAAGTTTACCGCTCGCTTCTCCTTCGCTTGCTGTATGTAAAGTATGATTATTTCATCTTGAAAAATCAATATAGTTTCATGTAGAGATGCAGACCTTTTCCAATTTGAAAATAACCAAAAACACATATAGTACATTGTATTTCAATGTCCAATTCCATCAATGTAGAGTCTAACTAAACAATTCATGCTACAACTATTCTCATACCTGCTGACTGTTGAATTTCGATAATTGGCCAGGGAAATCACCGAGAGGATATTGTCGACAGGAGGTTGTTGGAGGAAAGATAAAATGCGTAAAATAAGAGAGAGAAGGACTGAAACTTTGACTGCTCTTCAAAATCCGGTGGTGAAATCTTGTAAACAGATTTCCTATTTAAATACAACCTATCCTAAAAATGGGTGGAGAGTGGCCAACTGAATCTGTGCCACTTCCTAGAAAATTGACGTCTAAGAATTAGCTAATCCATTCGACGTGTTTGTCAAATGGTCAAAGGGAAATTAAATGTAAACGTGTGAATCTAAATAAAGAAAAAACAAAGGTTTTATCTAACAATCTCCTCCTAAAACCTGTGTTATATCTGCCTTGCCTTATTTCGTTTCGTTTGAACTCCGTTTTGAGCCCTATGGCTCGGTGTCCCTGGCGGCATGTCCTCCAGACTCCACGTCTTGTTTGGCCGCCTCTTCTTCGAGTTGGCGCGCCCCCAGTCCAGGTGGTTCACCTCTTCCTAATAGGTCTTCCATCTTCCGGTACCTGGCCGAGAAGTTGACTGGTTGCTCTATCTCTAGCTTTAGGATGTAAAGGCAATTTGTCGTGCACCGAACTTGCGTGAGCAACCGTCGTCGATCATCGCGGATCCTAAGTAGCCCGCGTTTGATGGAAATGTGGCAGCCGGCCTTATCGAGTTGACCCAGGCTCACAATATTAGCCTTGAGTCTCGGGATGAAGTAGACGCCGGTCAGCTTGTGATGATTGCCTCCCTTGCCGACGAATAGGATGGTACCGTGCCCTTCGATCTCGACGACGGAGCCATCGCCGAATTTCACCGTCCCGCGAATCCCCGAGTCAAGCTCAGAGAACGCAGACTTGGCCCCGGTCATATGGTTTGATGCCCCCGTGTCGAGGACCCATCGCCGGTGCTCTTGCTGCTTGCCTCTTTCACCGATTTGAGCGAGCACTCGCTCCTCCTTTAGTCGAATTGGCTCCCCAGGTGCATTTGTTATGCACAGTTGGAGTTCTTCCTCGGGTTCGACGTTCACCGGAGCAGTTATGCCGTCGTCGATTACCTCTGTGGATGCAGTCACCATGAAAAGGGCCGGCTCATCCTCCTCGGATTGAGCCACATGGGCCTTTTCGGCCGTCTCCTTGTTCCTGAGCTTGCTCCAGCAATTCTTGCTCAGGTGACCTCTCTTCCCACAGTACGAGCACTGGATTGGCCCGTCATCAGTCGACTCCTCCTTCTTTTGATCCGCCTCTTTCCTGTGCATGCGCCATCGAGATTTCCACGGCTTCTTACCGCCTTTGCGGCTGGAGGGCCCATTGCTCTCGCCGGTGTCATCACGGAGCTTTAGGCGTGCAAGCCATTCCTCCTCAGTGAGGAGTAGACGACCCTCCTTGTCGACAGCTGAAATGGTATTTTTCTTCCGCTGCTCGACGTTACGCAGTCTTCCGGTCACCTCTTCCACCGTTAGGTCATTCACGTCAAGCAAAGTCTCGATTGAAATTGCAACTTGCTCGAGGTGATCGGGGACGACCTGCAGCATCTTCTTCACGATTTCTGTCTCGTTGATGCTGCCACCGAGTGTGGTGATGCTGTTGGCGAGCCCCGTGATTCGCATTGAAAAATCATCGACGGATTCGCCGTCCTTAAAGGAGATCCCCGAGAGCTCCTTCCGCAGCTGCTCAATGTTGGATTCCCGCACTCGCTGTACACCGACTCGACGGGATTTAATTCCTTCCCAGGCCGATTGCGCGGTGCGCTTGGTGGAGAGAGATGCCAACATCTCTGGGGGCACAGATCGTAATATGGCGGCGAACGCCAGCCGATCCTCCCGGTACTCGATTGTTTCTCCTTCCTCTGGCTCGACAGCGTGCCATAACCCATGCGCCTGTAGGTTGACGCGCATCAACAAGGCCCACTCGTTGTAGTTGGACCTTGTCAACATCGGGTACTGAACGACGGCAGTCGTTGTCTCCCTGATCACTCGCTCAACGACACCTCGACGCCCGTCATCACGGCGTCGGCCACGACCTCTTCGTGGTGGTGATGGAGATGCCAGCACTTGGCGACGTGGAGGAGTGAGCGAGCCTGCTCGAGATGGACCCCACGACGATGTATTTATTTTTGCACTTTGCATTTTCTTCTACTCGAACCTGAGACCTGTGTGTTGTTAGATCGACGCTCTAACCACTTGAGCTATTCAACTTGATTGTTGATAAGTTGGCTCTTCTGTGATGGTATACTACCGATCGCTTCAACCAGGCTCTGATACCACTTGTTGAATTTCGATAATTGGCCAGGGAAATCACCGAGAGGATATTGTCGACAGGAGGTTGTTGGAGGAAAGATAAAATGCGTAAAATAAGAGAGAGAAGGACTGAAACTTTGACTGCTCTTCAAAATCCGGTGGTGAAATCTTGTAAACAGATTTCCTATTTAAATACAACCTATCCTAAAAATGGGTGGAGAGTGGCCAACTGAATCTGTGCCACTTCCTAGAAAATTGACGTCTAAGAATTAGCTAATCCATTCGACGTGTTTGTCAAATGGTCAAAGGGAAATTAAATGTAAACGTGTGAATCTAAATAAAGAAAAAACAAAGGTTTTATCTAACACTGACAATCATAAAGCAATTAGAGTATTAATTCATTCAATTAAGTCACTTCACCTTCTTCGCGCTTCTCGATTGAGGCGTCGTCTTTCCCTTCGACTTTCTTTTCTTCTTGCCCTGACTCCCGCACAATTCCTCCTCTTGATCTCCTCCATTCTCTTCGTGTTCTTGAGGCTTGTGAGGAAGAAGCGTTGACTGTACCAGCCGGCGTTGAACGCTCCTAGGCATTGGCTTGCCGATCTCAGTGGCGTCAGTCTCCATCGCATCCCCGGATTGCTTAGCCGGACTCTCCATGAATTTAACCCCAATTGTAGGTGATCGACAGAGTAAATCTCGGGAACTAGGGTTTTGAGAGAACTTGAGAATCTCTGAGAGTGAGCTGAAGCATACTCGGTAACGCTACGTAATCTTGAGATACAACAAGATCCTCGGAGGGGAAAGCGGATGATGAAATTGGAGGGAATCAACTCGTCTGTTCCCGCGCGGACGATGCTTTTTTCTCTCTCTCTCTCTCTCCTCGAATTTACTGTGATATCTTAATTCTTAATTAATTAAACGATAAATATAAAAAATAAATATATATATATATATATATATTTTTTTTTTTTTTTTTTTTTTTTTTTTTTTTTTTTTTTTTTTTTTTTTT